AGATGAATTTAATTCTAAAGCTTTTGCCAAAGCTGCTGCTCCTGTATCCCGAATCTGATTATTATCAAGATTCAAAGCAGTCAAAGATGAATTTAATTCTAAAGCTTTTGCCAAAGCTGCTGCTCCTGTATCCCGAATCTGATTATTATCAAGATTCAAAGCAGTCAAAGATGAATTTAATTCTAAAGCTTTTGCCAAAGCTGCTGCTCCTGTATCCCGAATCTGATTATTATCAAGATTCAAAGCAGTCAAAGATGAATTTAATTCTAAAGCTTTTGCCAAAGCTGCTGCTCCTGTATCCCGAATCTGATTATTATCAAGATTCAAAGAAGTCAAGGATGAATTTGATTCTAAAGCTTTTGCCAAAGCTGTTGCTCCTGTATCTCCAATGTGTTTAAACTGAAGGCTCAAGGAAGTCAAGGATGAATTTGATTTTAAAGCTTTTGTCAAGGCTGTTGCTCTCATATCTACAATTTTATTCTCATTATGATTAAGAAAATCAAATTGGTATTCTTTCATATTCAATGTATTGATATGTGGATTAAGCATGCAGTAAGTATCTATCACTAATTCTGATGTCAATGTATTATTTGGTTCATATTCCAAAGATTTAGTAAAATGCCTCAAAGCAGTTTCATATTGACCAAGCATCAAATAATCAGCTCCACTATTTCTCAACTCAAGTGCATCAGTCTCTGATAATTCGTTAGTACTAGCGCTAGACCGGGACATTGCTTAATTATAATATCAATAATAATAATAAGCACAGAAAAACTCATAATGCGGAAACTCCTACATACATTTTTGCTCACATAGACGTAATGTGATTGGTCGATCATTGACACAACGAAATAGAAAGCTAGTAATAAGGGTTTAGCTGGAAACACAGGTATGAAACAAATTATACAGCATATCTGTCTCGTGTGCAGTGCCGGAAGCTATTCTCCCGAAATAGTGCAGAATTCGCTTACTATAATTTGTTTTCGCACGAATTAAAAATTTTTAATCTTTTAGGAAAGCTACATTTAAATTTTACCTAATTATACTTTCTAGTTCACTTTCAACTTCAATCCAATGCGTAACCAGCCACTCAAAGTTGCCATAGACGTTGAAACAACTTGTAAGCATAAAAAACTCGTTTGTCAAACAAAAGATACGATTTATTAAGTCTAGTAATAGTGAGCACTATTATCTTACAGATCATACAAGCTATAACCCATACAAAGTGATAAAGTTCAACTATCGGGTAGAGTTATGCTCTCAGAAAAGCAGAAAGAACGATGTTGAGAGATAAAATTATGTACATTACATCGATGGGGGAGTGTTGCATATACAAGAATAGGGAGAATATAAAATCTATACATCCTTGAAGTATTAAGTCTTGGTCGCGGCAGACAAGTATTTTAGACATCGGGGAACGTGTCCTGAATGTGAATGAAAATAAGAAGATAATGTGTGAAAAATAAAAGTAATACGCATAAGGAGATTATACTCGTAGACTGTAAGATGAGTCGTCATGAGTGTTTGAGAAATGGCGCTTATTAAGATAGAGCTGTAGAACCCGAATAAATCAAAAGTGTCCTCCTTAAACACACTCATCTCAAAAAAGAAAAGCAATAAACTAAAAAAAATCTAGTAACTATCACATTGAAGTCCTTACTGATCTATTATTAAGCCTGCTTACGTCATCTTTTTTCATTTGACTTTCGTTATTCCGTTCACACGTTTTACAATATAGTACATCTCCCAAAAACTATCTCACCTCGAAACCGCATTCTCTCTTGCCCCAAGTCCGTTGGCCGCCGGCAATCTTATTCTAATAAATTCATTCATTCCTCCAAACGGTCTTAGCAATCTTCTGGTAAGCCACGTTTGTCCATTTGCATTCTTCCTGCTATCCTCTTCCTCGTCGTCGGCATTGCTAGCCTGCCAAGAGTAGTAGCCTTTGATTTAAGGATTACTCCGGCACCACTCACTTTCGGTATTGCATCCTTTACGGCGGATACTGTAATATTCCTGCAGCCGAATCTTTCCTCTTGCACATTCCTATTCCGTTTACGTTGACAGTGGTCTAGGTCGATATGGGATAGATATGGGCATGATCTGAAGAGGTCAATTACACCCTCGTCTGTTATTCGTTCGCAACATAGTTTGAGGTTAGGAGGTTTGATGCGAAAGAATGTAGTGTGCGGTCTGTGATAGAGAGAGCGTCTTCCAGATCGAGTGCTTCGATTTTTGTACATTTCTGAGATAAACGGATAGGACCCTTCTTCGGCTAGGGACGAGCAGCTGTGGAGTTGGAGATGTGTCAACTGTGGACAATGTTCAGAAAGTTCATCCAGCGTAACGTCGGTGAGATTGTGGTTGTTGACAGATTGAGGTGAGTCAACGGCGGCGGGTCGTGTTCAGGATATTGAGAATCACCACGAAGAAGGGCGGTAATGTGTGAGCCGGTTAAAGTGGGACATGCATCAAGTGATAATGCTCTCAGATTCTTTAACATTCCAATCTTTGCCAAGGCCGTCTCGTTCAACTTGGGTAACCCATTAATTTTCAGCATTGTAAATCCATCGACTAGAGCCTCTATTCCTTGCGAGTTTATGTATTGACACCAGCTGAGATTTACTTTTTGACAGTGCCTGCCCAGCATTTCGCAATGCGGGTTGATGATGAAGAGCAAACCGGACAGATCGCGCGTGTTTCCAGATTATTCAGTTTGCTGAGAATGTCTGCTATCGAACTGGTATCGAGAGATCTGCAGCCTGAGAGATGGAGGGATTCGGTGTCTGGACAAATAAAAAGGCCGGGTATTTCACAGATAGACGTTCAATGTGTGTTGACTTTATAGATGCAACTACCGAAGAAGAGTAAAATACTCTTAATTAGAATTAGATTTGACAATATAAGAAATAATTATACATAAAGGCTACCATGCTTGCGTATTGTTTGCAGTTAGTGCATACTCAGTCGCTCCGAGTTATGAATACTTTCGGGATTGTATCCTTTGGGGTTGAGTTTCTCGAAAAGAGTTCTTTTGTCCATTGCAAGGGAGCGCCCTTCCTGAAATAATGAGAAACTCCCGTCAGAGCGAATGAAGTTGTTTTATTTGATTGCCAACACCACAACATAAATAGACTGTGACTACCATTATTTCAGTATCATATATTTCGATATCCCTTCCGACCGCGGTAATGTTATTTTGTGAAAGAGATTTTTGATGAAGAGACCTTAATCGTCCAAGGGTAAATAATCTTATCACTATCAGATACCATCTTTTTTCGCAATTTGATTTAACAGTAGATATTTTGGACATACCGCTTTCGTAAAGATCTGTTATTCAATAATGCTTAGTTCAGTTCACAAGCAAGTTCATAACATTCTCCATTGTTCAACTAGCCAAAAGAAGGCCGTGCATGAAAAGTGTCTCGAGACGAAAGAGGCAAAAATATAAAGCGCATTAGATCAATAAACGTCTGCAACCTTAATATTAGGTGAGACAAAAATCAAAAATTTGGAAACGTGGCCTGAGTCACGAGATTACCATGGTAAGTCCAAATATAACAGATATCGATATAATATGATCCGTTCGGTCGAATTAACGCAGACTTAATATTAAGGGAAACAATAATAAAAAAACGGGGTCTTGCTCAAACGATCGAAGATCAAATTATCGTGCGGTCGAATTACCGGCAATTAGTTACAGATTTTTAAATTGCGCAACATTCTTAATTATACTTTATGACTGACAGTGGAATTCAACAAGCATAGAGATTATAATTGTAGTTGTTATCAGTAAAAGTTTCTTTTATCGAGTCACATGAAACCAGTAAAGTGCTGACATTCCCATGGGCGTGCATTTATGGATAGAGTTACACAAATTTTCAAGAATTAAAAAAAAAATTCAAGAAATCGTGCGTGTGATACGATGCGATAGAAGAAAGAACGCATTTATTCCCAACGCTTTTCTATTCTCTTTGGGGGTAATCATGGCTCAAGCAAACTTGCAAGATCTTCTTTCCAAAGTCAATGTTACGGCCGCTCTAGATATCGAGGGGAACGTTCCCTTGCAAAGCGTTCAGCTTGACGGACTGGTAAACTATCTTTTTGACGAAAAACTGGTGGTCCAACACCCAAACTATTGAAATCTCTTTGCCAAATACCAAACACCGGATATTAATCATACCAATTTCATACCGTTGTTTTGTCTGAAAACGTAGGTAGTATTAAAGATCATCAAACACTGTCGAGAGTTTTTTCCAAATTCCGTTACTGGCCAACTCCTGGGTCTTGACATGGCCGGAGTGTTGGAGATAACAAATTGCTTTCCATTTCCTGGATCGAAGCCTGACGACGAGAACGAACAACTCGATGGTCGGTTGGTTGATATAACGATAAACTGACTACCGCCCCTTTTCCTTTTTTATGCTTGTATACATTGACTTTTTCGTGTTATCGATTTAGGTGCCCACTACCAAGCTGAGATGATGAGGTGTCTGAGAGATATTAATGTTGATCACAATACTGTTGGGTGGTATCAGTCTACTTATCTTGGGCCATTCGTTACTCATAAATTAATCGAAACACAGTACAACTACCAGCAAACATTAAACAACCAGAGCGTCGTGATTGTCCACGGTGAGTTTTTGTTGCCAAAAGGTTATACCAACCAGTGTCGTCATCGCTCATTGTTCTGACGTTCTTTGTGTTGTGTCATTGACAAATCAGATGTATCCAGGTCAACTCATGGTAATATCTCATTACGAGCATTCAGATTAACTCAAGCGTTTATGGAGGCGCAAAAGGAAGGAAAATTCAGCAGCGAATCGCTTATAAAGAACAAGCTTACGTTTTCTAATATATTGGAAGAGCTGCCAATTGCAATCAAAAACTCTCACCTCGTCACGGCGCTGCTATACTCTCTGGATGAAGTTCCACCGGTGCCCAAGAATCTCGACTCTATTGAAGGTCCGCTTAGACCCAACTTTGATACATTAGAGCTGAGTCTTGATCCATATATCGAGAAAAA